AAAAAAAATCGCTCAATTATTCAATTCATAAGATTTTCTCAGGCCGCCACTTAGAATTGCTGAATCTGAGATAGTTTACGTTTGGAATTCGCGCCTCTGAAGATGGTCAACAAATTAATCGCGAAAACAAATTCTCTTTGCCACTTTTGGTGATTGGTATGGCTATTCACGGCCGAAGGGTCGTAAATGAAGCCCAAACAAAACAAACAATGTCATTGAGTTGGATTTTGTATAAAAGACAGTCACGAGAAGCAGCCCATGACAGGAACACCGCCCTGAGATCTATTCCCTGATCAAATCTCGCCACGAACATGCCTCTTCATATCATTCAAAGTCATGAGGTGGTTGTGAGGTTCGGGTATATCTATAGACCTGATGCACGCTGAAATAAATCGACCGTGTAGCATCAACGGTTCGGACCTTTACTTTTCATCTTGCGTGAACTCTTGAAAAAGGGTCAAGAAGCACTCACCACTCTTGCCATCACTTGCGCTTGAAGGTTGTCTGGAGGTACCACACGAGAAAAATAGGCGAATCGAGGCTTTTCACTCAGCTCTGATCCAGTGGACGAGTAGCTCACTTGAGGGATCTGAACGATTGTGCTGTAGAGAATACGTACTATGGTTCAAAGGCGTTTTCTGTGTGGATCTAACACCGAGAGAAATGATTGCAAACGAGTTTGCTAGACCACTAGCGGAGGGCCTGAGGAATCACCGTCGACCGTTTTGCAGCGCATGAAGTAGGATGAAAAGAGAGAAAGGAGGAAAACACAAAAATGAACAGAAAAGAATGAACCTAGAAGTCTCCACTGAAAGCCATTTCAAAGCGGTTATTTAACTGAGTCCCTTGAGGCTCTTTCAGACTTCCTTCTGAAGTTCTAATGAGAATGTATCTCCCTGGCTGTGTCCTACCACAATTGTGTTGAGATCGATCCTTCACTGTTTCTTCGGGGTATTCTGCACCACTAAATGTCCATATGCTACACAATGGTGTACGAAAGCCGGAGTTAGGAGGTCCAGTTAGAAGGGTGCCATACAATGTGAGACAAAGTTCATGAGCTTGAATGAATCAGTGATTTCCAATAGTTCCTCTATTCCATCGTTTTATTAGTCCACGATTACTGCGCCTGTCTGTTAAGGACGTTTCTTGATGCCGTTCCAAGTAAAAGGCATGACTATTCTAATACTTCGGCATTTGCGACTGAATCTACATCAATCTCGACATTATCAGAGAATTTTCGAAAGTGAAGTCTTTGTCACGTGAGAGTTCACTACTTTTTTCAGCTGCCCAAGCCTTACTATGTTTGACACTTGACATTTTCCTTTCAGATTAAAGCGTAATACCTGAAAAAGAAGTGCCTATTTTCCTTCGCACATGTGACTTCCCACAAACAGAGAACCCACTAAGTTCTCTGTCACGTTTCCCCTTTACTTCTCCTAGTAGGTCAGAAGTCGCCTGTCATTCATGGGAAATCAGGCGTCTCCGATACACCAGAAGTGAAAGGGGAGCGACGTGAGCTCGGCGAGTGCCTAATAGCTAAAGTGCAATCAAGCGTCTGGACGACGACCCCAGAAAGGACTACTGGCTCTAAGCTATTTGGAACAATAAAGAAATCTAAAACCATATAAGAACCAGAAGCCCAGCTTTTTGATTTCCCTGAGAATCTACGTGAAACCCAGGAACGACCGTCTTAACTTCGATTAGNTGCCGGACATGTGGGTCAACATATATCGGAGAAACGGGGAGACAACTAGCTACACGTATTAAAGAGCACTTAGCTAGTATGAGGCGAGGCAGCCTGATGACGGCGCTTGGTAGGCACAAAATTGAGGAGCACAACGGCAACAGTTTCGAAATAAAGTGCACGATATTAGCGCAGGAGACGGAGATTTCAGCGAGGAAGGCATTAGAGGCGTTTTGGATTTTCCAAAGAAGTCCTAAAATGAACAGCAGAGATGAGTGCCCATCTATAACCAACGATCTTTTGCCATACATACCGCACTGCGACTTATGACTCAGTAGCAATATGACGTGATCTTCCTTATCATAAGTATAAGGGAGACAGCAAGAAAGTCTCATTCGCTACTGACAGTCGCCTGTGGCGACAGCGGATTTTCTCCGCTCAAGTGGTGGAACCCTGGTGAGTCATGCTTCAAATCATGGGTTTTTAATTTGTCGTCACATCTGCCAGGGAAGATAACGCGCTTCTTGGATATTGTGCAAATCATCTCGAGTTGCATTTAGGCCTCTGAAGAAGACGATTGCGTCGAAACGTTAGGCCGTTGACTAATAAACTGTTCCACCTAACAACCTCGTACGGCACAAAATTATTTCTATCTTTTGCCACAGTCAGCTTTTACTACTCCTAGGGACCCAGCAAGTTGGAGAACTGAGAATCAAAAACTATGGAAGGGTAATTCACCAAAATTTACTCGGATTTTTGAGGTTTGGTTCTTTGAGGTCAGTTCAATTTTCCTTCTGAGTTATTGTTTACTGCTACTAACATAGAGTCTTCTAGAGAATTATTGGAATTGTCGGCTTTCTGTCAATCCCCAAATCGCCAGTCAAAGTGTATATCCTACTGCAACTACATGCGCTCCCTTGCTACTCTGGTCTGTTCACTGAACAATTTCGATTGCTACCATGGTTGAGGACGATTGGAAAAAAAGTTTATGTTCAGCATGGCCAACGTCTGAGGCACTTATCTCTCTTAGTTATTCTGAGTGAAAGTCGAAACCGCGACTTCAGAGTAAGTGACGTCGGCGACACCGGAGAGCCCTTACCCTTGGCATTATAGCTCACACATTATGAATAATTTCGGCCTTATTCATGGCGGCATCAAAGAGCGTTGTCCTTCCCGAGTCGCTTTGCCCTTAGACGTCAAAAACTTTTACTATGACTGCTCCTACGATAATAGTACAATATTTGCGAGATTCATGGCCAAAGTTCAAACCAAGTTCTATTTTTTCAGCAAGAAAACCCTAAAAGGGGATTCTTATGCAGAGAAAAGTGGCAACAATCCACTGCAGTAGACATTTTGACTGAAATGGAGCGTCTAACACTTCTAGGCCTACTTTTTATCAAGTCACAAGCAAAAAAAAGCTGGAGTAGTTTAATGGAAAATATAGATAAATAGGAAGAAATGGGAGGAAAAAGAAAGAGAAAGAGAAAGAGAAGGAGAAAGAGACAAAGACAGAGAAAGATGAAGAGAAGGAGAAAAAGAAAAAGAAAGGGAAAGAGAACGAGAAAGAAAAAGAAAAAGAAAGAAAAAACGAAAGAGAGGGACAGAAAAGCAGGTCTCCAAGCAAATAAATGAGTAGGTAAGTAAGTAAGCAAGTAAGCAGGTTAGTCAGAAAGAAAAATGAACGACGAGTTATTGAATTGCTCACTGAATGGAGTGATTGAGAGTTTGGAAGAAGTATTCATCCAACAAAATAGCAAAGGAAACCTGCCGGTTGTAATTACCGGTAACAATAAAGAAACAGTCCAAACCAATTTGAAACTACCTTGAAAAGCTGAAGCATGCTGGCCACCATGACGGAAACTTGACTACCGGCTGCACCTACGACGGCGGCGACGGGCTGACGATGATACGAAGCTGATGAACCGTCCTGAAATTTTACTGGCACTACGGATTTGATTGCCAAAGACGACTTTCAGGCAGAAACAGTTGTACGAAAATCCAGTAATATAGGCGAACATACCGCACAGACTGCTCCATCACCACTGGACATGACGGACTTGATGAATTCCAATGTTTGTTCCAGTGCATAGCTGTCAACGGAACTGAAAAGGTGGATTCAATAGATTTTCCCATATTCTGTTCATTTGAATTTGTTTACTCGACATGTTTTCTTTTCAGAAAAAAGGGCTTTTCCCTTTAGTTGTGTCGTTCTACTGACGTTCAGTTTTCAGCACAGTGAACAAATCCTTCAACTATACTCCAGCAACTGTGTAAAAAGTTTTTTTTGTGACAAAAGCTCTCGTTTGTGTTTCAGTGCACAGCTGTTTCCCTCTAGAATTTTCAAAACTTCACATGAACTGGATGGACTTGTGACTCCAAAAAAATAGGGAGGAAAACGCTGTCGGGTTGAAAGATGGCCTAAAGAGAGCATAATAAGGGTCCCATAGCTGCTCAGCCGACTGACATACCCAAAAGTGGACGAGCTATCACTCGTCCGCCTTTGTGAGGATGTAAAGGTTGCATTATTCGCGTCAGTACGTACACATTGCATGCAGGCAACTCAGTGTAGTCAGCTGTGTGCAATGGCACACACATTTGGATAACTCGTCCAAAAACTTGCAAATATAAATATTTTTCGTGCAACCCAGTTCAACCCTGATTTTTCGACTTTCTGATGCCTTGTATTTCTCTTAATAAACTAATTTTCGCGTTTTCTTCGCCACTATTGCATCATCTTGGACTATTACTTTCATCATCCGTCCGAACATCCAAAATGATCGCGAACTGTGCCGTCGATATATTGTCCTTCCCTTATTGTGTGGAAAGCAAGATAAGTTACTGGGAACAAGGGAAGTATCCCATATCCATGCGGTTCCAATAAACGTTTCTGCAAGTAGGCCGGGTATGGTGTGTTAGGAACGGAATGGTCGCGTCGCGGTGAGAGGGGCGTCGCGCGCGAAGGAATGTAGCATGATGCAGCAGTGGGTAAGAAATACAAGAACAAAAGTACTATTAGTACAATTATGCATAAAATAATGATCGCATATCGATTGAGCTGTATGAAGAACGCTAGAGCTGTAATAACGGCTAACTAATGGTCCGCGATAGCCGCGTGCGGCAAATCGTTTACCCAAAATCGTTTCTAACGCCCGTCTCCCGAGTAGGCCTATTGAGCAGATTAAACCGTCAGAGTTCACGTTTTGGTCCTTTTGCGAAATCCTCTATTATAGATTTCGTTGATTGCTTCTTGAATAATTTAAGTAAATCAGCAAACTTCATAACACGAGGGAATCTGCCCCCCTCCTCTCCCCAGTCAGGTCACATTTCATGGAGAGCTCAATGAGCAGTCAGTTGCATTGGCAATGATGGTGGCGAGACGTCAGTCATGTGCATGCGGACATCTTTTTGTTACTCCTTTGTTGCACACCCATGACAATGAGAATTTCAAGCCATGCATTGTCCTCGAAGAAAATCAAAAAATTCCGAAACCAAATTGTCAAAATCCCTCAACCAAGCTCTCTCTAGAACTTAGTTCACATTCAGCATCCTTGGCGTTTCTCAAGTTAGGAAACAGCATCAAGCGAAAACAAATTTCTTGGGTTTTGGCTTCGTCCGCACAACGTTTAATCCTAACAGAGAAGAAAAGCTTTCAAATAAAAGGAAATGCGAAAACTCATAGAAGCTATTAGAATTATCCAAAAGATCAGGGAAATAGCTAGACACAAGACAAAGCACACTCAAAAAGACAGGAGCATCGTACGCAATGAAAGTTTGCCATATTTGTTTAGATTACCTGCCAACCTACTTTCTACTTCCAATAAACATAATCAAATTTCGAGGCGCTATTCAAAGTCTTTTTTGCCATACATATGTGCCTCTGTGGGGTCGAAAAGAGCTGGATAATTCGCAATAAGGGCTCAAAGAACTGTCGCCTCTGTATGCCACACCCAAATGTGGACGTATTTTGACGACCTTGCAGAGGATGCAGCATTCACTATTAAGTAGATATGTTGAAATTTCAAAAAGCTTGTCACAGAACAAAATATGCAACATAACAAAAGAATAATAACAACATCAATAAAGGATATTATGGAAAAAGTTTCTGGCGTTAATCAATCCCATCTGAGGGATGCACTCATGCACTAGACCCATTCAGAATCGTATGGCGCAATGAGTGCGTATGTGGCCTAAACAATGACTTGCGGTGGGCAGCCGATGTACAAGTCAGTGCTTTTATCCTCCCAGACGAGTCTGGTACCAATTAACCGACCCCGGGGGGATGAAAGGCTTGGTTGACCTAGGCGGATATCGATCCGGGATTTGAACCCCTGACCGTGCGTTTGAGATAGTGCGCCACTCGCCACTATACCACCTCCGCCCCTTAACATCAACAAAATAGTAACAGGATGGCAGCAAAAATACGGAACAACAACATGGAACTCCCGAAACCTTGAATGAGTTAAGTTCTCGACCTATGAAGACAATGCCAGGCAACTTGTTATTTTGATTTCTGTCGTCAGCTTTTTGAGCAATGACGCACAACTGACACCTCGCCCAAATACCCCTCCCATTGCCACTTCCGTCCTCTAATCTCATACAGCCCCTATTTTCACTACATTTCAGTACCATTACATATCCCCAATGCAGATTTTCACCCGTCCTCCGCCACCAGCCTACCATTCTGCATCATCACTTCCGTAATCTACCATAAACCCGTAAACCCTGCCTTCAGTTAGTAATCAGTAATAGTAATTAAATCGCACCACAGACAACTTATCCAGTGGATAGTTGCCGGTTTCAGGTTCAACTTTGGTTCTGTGAACTTGATGTTGCCTTACTAGTACTTCCCTTAACGTATTATACTTATCACAAGCAACCTTGATTCAATGTGGGCAATTTTATTCCTTTACCCGACATTAGAATAATCATTTGGAAATTCTGAAATCCCCTTTTGTCTATTCCAAAGTACTGTCCACTTCCAGTTGGATATTATGGCATTTCTGCTTAATGTCTCAAGAAGGAAAAAATTAGGGCATAGCTGGTGTACTGGCAAATGACGCACTACCACACACGCATGGTCACGGGTTCGAATCCCTGATCGCTGTCCTCTTGGACCGACTAGGCCTTCCATTCCTTCGGGAACGGTAATAGGTCAATCCTGTAAGAGGATAAAAGCACTGATTTGTTCATCGGCTGGCCACCGTAAGTCATCGTATCGGTCACATTCAATACACCTCAACGATTCCGGATGGGAGTCAATGTGGGGCGCATCCTTCAGACAGGATTGAACAACGCCTCGAGTTTTAATTCTTTATCCTTTTACTCGGGAAGTACAGTAAATTTACTTGACTTAGTTGACACTTGAGTAGAACCTAGAGAGTACTATTGGGGGAGTTAGAGAGCACAATCCCTAATCAGTACAAATTTTTATTCAGTGTTCCCTTTGGGTGTGTCAAAGAAAGTACATTTTTTGATTGCTACGAATAATCTAAAGCTACTTTGAAAGCTGCAAATTTAAAAAAAATCTGAATATGTACTTTCATTAAACCCGGCTGCCGTTCCCCACTTCCAACATGATTTCCCTTTCTCTGAAAGCATGAGAAGAACTGCCTCTCTCCTCCACCTACCCCTCCTGAAGGTTAATATTTTTTCACCGCACCATCGACTCAGGAAGCCCTTAAGAATATTCAGAAGTGGTTCCTGGGTGCCCACTATTTACTCAGGAGCATTCAAGTGAAAGGATATGAAAGGTTGCTCTGATCTTTGGCGGCCGACTAATGGACATGGTGATTTCAGTGGAAATTCGATACACATACATCTCCAAGCCGCCGTGCCTGAGGCAGGCCAAAGAATGCCGCAAAACGCTATCTAATGAGCACTTCCCTCTGTTAAAAAGGAATATTTGTACAATTGCAATAACAAAAAACAAGAACAGCGAAGGCCGTGCCCAAAAAAGTGCCAGCTGTCCGATTTCCGCATATTATTATCAAAAAATTTTTATTTAATTGTTCGAGCAAAGTTGAAACGTGAATAGGCGTGGTGAGGCAGTAAAAGATTCGAAGGACAAAGGCTGTTCAAATCAATGGAATGAATGAGCATTAGGTCGTTTGGAAAGTATTTGCCGAAAATTTCGCAAAAGCGGGTCCAGATTTCTTCTCGAATGTTCCGGAAATTTCCATGGTACTTCTTTACCAGCCTGAATCTGGTCACCCCGCTGCAAAACCTCATCAAAGCTTGTGTCAAGCTTCGGTCTGGAAGCCCTCGGAGTGGTCCTATGCAGAATGCGTACAAAAGCTATGATGAGTAAGACAATAAGGTTGAAAATGAACCGCGACACGGTTAGCTGACGGCTATGTCATGGAATCTCCGGATATGCGATATGCATACAAGTGTGGGTTTTACCGTACACTTCTTCTATAGAGGTTTCCAGAATGTTACACCAAAAATTTAAACTTCCGTAAAATTTTCGGCAGATTTTTTCTGAACACACTAAACAACAAACATAGTTTGAGGCATTGATCAAATTCGTTTCTAGGATCAGCCCATGTAATAAACTTTCATTGGGAATTCCAGCGACGTCTAAATGCGTTCTGAGCACGATCTGCGGCAAGCTATAGGTCAGCTAATTTCACCTCACAGAGGAGGCTAGCACTAAATTGTTGGCCCGGAAGTTTCAGACCAAGACAGTGTTGTGCTCACTGGGACTACCTAACTCCACAAAGATAGGAGGGTTGAAATTGGTTCCAAGGTAGATGTTCAGGTGGTTCATGGGCCTCAGCGGAATTGACTGTACTAAGCAAGTTCCCGTTAGCTGAAGTGCTAAACCGTTTCTGCTAATTATTAGGTTTCGAGTCAGCGACTGGCATGGAGGTGAATACGAAACATTCCACAGTAACCCCAACTACTCAAGATTTGTTGTTAAAGTTAAGCAAATTCCATGCGTGATGCTACAAAAGGGGCAATGGAATGTGTCATTTTTTGGGTTTAATTGCCAGTGTCTAGGAAAGTGTAAACGGCGATGATAAGTGGAAACGACTGAGATGGAATGTGAAACTCGCAAACAACTCCAGGTTAAGGTGATCTAGCAGCCTACAGCCATTTCCATTATTCTCTGATACTAGCATTATCTGAGTTTAGGCCTAATGGGAGGAAACTTTGGACAGTTCTCAAATAGAGCAGTACACTTTATTTTTACATTACGATTGCTGTCGAATAGAAAAACAAGGTGGATAGCTGAGTAGAAAAATAGCAGCTGAAAATGGGATTTACCAGGTGTCAAGGATCTGAGCTCCTAAGCTTGCTTGTGGCAGTACGGTGTGATCCTGATTGATTTTCTCCAGGGCATACAGCATAGCCACCATACGTTGAACGCCTTGGTCGGCCTTAAATATAAAACCGCTTACTCGACAATATTGAAGCAAAACTCAGAGTTTCCTCTGAACCAAGAAGGAATAGACTGAATTGGATTGAACAAAGCTTTCTATAGAACAAAAGAACTTGTAAAATAAAAGGAGATGGCAGTCATTGGACTAGCGACAACTTGAAGTATTTATTATGTATTGAAGTATTTATTTTCAGCTTTTATAAAAAACTCACCTTAATTTTCCCGCAGTGGGACCCGTTTCTACCGGCTTCGTGAATTGGGAAAAGACCGCCAAGTACGATCTCGCCGGGTACGGTGACCTGAAAATACGGTGATTTTTTTCTGAGTTTAAAGCTGGGGCACCAACCTTCTACATTTCAGCCTCTCATTTGAAAAGCGCTTACTCCACTGCTTTAATCATAAAATTTGAAAAAATAGCCCCAGAAGACCTGGGGGACCGTGATGAATTCGAACCTCCTAGTTAAAGGCACAATTTACGATAACTCTGGGTCATTTAATTTTAGACAAATAATTAAAGCATGATAGTTCAGAATAGTGCAGGATTGGTAAAAAACCGGAAAATCGGAGTATCCAAAAAAGTCGAAAAAATTAGTAACTTTAAGTACTAAATTTAATAGTTGGATCGCATGGGAAGGGTGTCTGGACGAGTGTGCCAGATGTGTGTGCCACTGCATACAGCTGGCTACAGTAAGCGCCCGCATGTAGTATGTGGGTCCCGGTGTGAATGTTACAGCCTCTACAGCCTCTACAGCGTCGACAGAACTCGTCCTCCTTTGGGTGTGTAAGCCAGCTGAGTTGATTTTCGGGCCCTTATTTGCGCCCTGCTTACTGGCTGATGATCTTCTCATCAGAAAAATAAATAACTTAGGCCTACCTGTCTGACAGTACTCGCGTTCGTGATAAAGTACAGAAGCAATAGGATGGTGCCCCATCCCATATCACAGTATCACCTGGAACAGCTTTAATTTATGGATCGGTTGTAATCGAAAATAACGGACTACTCAGACGGTAAGAACGAAGAAAGGTGTTCAGGAGTATCGAAGGAATAATGAATGCGTCGTGAATTACCAACAATGTCTACCATGACTTAAATAGTCATTTTAAGTTCAAATCAACTTTGCACTTTAAAAACAGCTTTCATTTGGGGGTACTTGCTAAGAACATCAACAACTTCTGTGCTGAAAGTAGTCCGTCAGCCTTTCCACTGTCTTTAAAATCAGCAATCGATAGCCAAAATCAAACGTTTCCTTATATGGTACGGTGAATCTCAAGAGCTTGTTGAGCAGGAGGACATACGAGAAAGAGAGCGCCGTGTAGATGCGCCTGTACGAAGGTTACTTGTCAGGAGCCATTATTGGGTATATTCTTTGCCTTGGGGCAAGCCACATATAAGTGAAGTCCAGAGAGAGCTAGTCCAACTTCCTACATACATCATACGGAGCTCGAGCTCAATCGAGCCAAAATTTATTGGATGATTTTCTATGAAATCGTCATAAATTTTGAAGAACCTAGTAATCATCGAAGCCTTAAATCACCGAAGAATTCGCAGAATTTCTTTCGAACCTAACATTCTGGCATGGCTGACGGAGAGGGCTGGTGCCAAAACGACTCATAAAACCTTTTTGAGATTCAGTCCCTTGGAAGATCCATAGAAAGAGGGCAGAGTTACGCTAAGATATTCCCTATAACTTCGAAAAAGCGGAAAAAATGGGCAAAAAAGAACAGGGTTGGTTCTACAGGGTCTCTTCGCTGCTCTTCTCATCACTTGGATATCACTAACAGATGACTAAGCCGTTCCTTCAATAAGGCTACGATTATGATGTGAAGCCAAAAAGGGCTAAGCTGTTCTCATTGGGAGTGCTGTGAAGTTGAGCATAGTAGGTAGATTGACAAGTTAGTTAGAATGCACTTTTGGACTCCCTAGAAAGATAGGTGGGACCCATAACGGCTTAGTCTTCAGTGGCAACAATGAATAGAACAGGCAAAAGGACGGTTCTGGCGTAAATTCATTACCGACTGGGGGTAAGAATGGATAACGAAGGATTGATGCTGTAGGTTACTAGGCCTCTGGAGAAGACTGGCAAGAAAAAAAAGCAAAGGAAAGAAAAGGGTTGTGTTAGACAGGCCAAGCAATCTAAAGGGAAAGCAGAGAAATCTGCAGCCCTCGATTGTAGGATGCAAGGAAATCATTTCAGCAAGATTGGAAAAGTTCATTTGGCCGTAGGAACGGAATAGTAATCAGGAAAGTTCTGAAATGCATTCGGGATCATGCAGCTTAACGAGAAATGTCACTGACAAGATGCTCAGGTGCTCGAGGAGCTGATAATCTGCTCAGATGCTTGATAAGAAGATGTTGGATGCTGACTTGGTGTAAGACGAACCAGAAATGAAGTAATTATGGCTCAAGCTCTGCTGAGAACGCCCCTATGGGCACCTATGCATGGAGACTTTGCAATGGCGCAATGGCCATGCGAGAGCTGTTTCACCTGATCTCCCCTCTCCTCTAGAGACTGCACCTAGTCACTCTCTCTACTACAAGACCCCGTATCAAAGAAGACCCTAGCTATAGAACTTACTTCGAATCGCCTCTAGAATCACGAGGTTACGGTGGCTTTGGAAAAGTTTTCATGAGGAATGATCATGAGAGAGTGACAGACCACATTGAAGCTAGGTTTTACTTGTTTGTGATTGCCCAGAACCTGGCATCGCCCACGACATACTATGCATTACTAGAAGCATTCTCGATAAGTTATGTAGCCTTGTCCCTGATTCGTAATTGTTTCGCCGGCCGCATGTCATGCCTTTCATGAACTACACGTTCGGCATATGCCCTTATGGTGACGTGTTCAATTTGAAGTCCATTCTTCAACGGGGCATAACAGCAGACAGAATTTTGTATTCAACGAGAATAGAACTCACTCGTTCGCACTTCTTGGTTTCAGACATAACACATAGAAAGGAAGGTTGGGTACCAATGCATTACCCTAAAATTGCGCCATGCCCATACCATCGTATTTGGCCTATACAGTGGGTTGCGGGGTACAAGCCTGCTGTTCTATGGGTCACTTCTTCATCATACCCTTGGAAAAACCGGGAGAATAGCTTTTTAGTAATGCCTTGTGCTCAGCAGAGGTAGGAGACCCCGCTACCGAACAAAACAACTTTGAATGTGTTTTTCATCAGAATGAAATAACTTTCAGCTGCTTCTAAAGCTACTTTTCATATAACGCTTTCATATTGTTGGGATGACCAGGTGCAAGCCAAGGAAATCAATGGAGCGCACACTCATTTGTAAGTAGCGTGACTGAGTTCTTGAAGAAATGCTACTTAGACTATACGTGGGTACCTTACTCGAGGTAAGGGTCAGTCTGTTGGTCACCCTCGCATTTAGAACTGAGCCCTGAAANCTACTTTTCATATAACGCTTTCATATTGTTGGGATGACCAGGTGCAAGCCAAGGAAATCAATGGAGCGCACACTCGTTTGTAAGTAGCGTGATTGAGTTCTTGAAGAAATGCTGCTTAGTCTATACGTGGGTACCTGACTCGAGGTAAGGATCAGTCTGATTGTCACCCTCGCATTTAGAACTGAACCCTGAAACCGAGCAAACGACAAAAAAACCTCTGGCCAATGAAATTCGGTCGGAGACGTTCATAAGGAAAGCAGATCAAATGAAAATGAAACATTCAGTTTAAAATATTGCAGGACGGCATAAGTAGAAGGAAGTTTTGCAAAGGACTGCGATCACCATGGCCTTTGACAGAGAAAAGGTCAGGAAAATGACGTCTGGAAACAGATTACAAGTAATCAGAGATTTTTTACTAAGCAATTAACTTCAAAAAGTCGGAAGTTTTGGGGGGGGGGGGGGGGGGTGCTCCCCGTTCTGAATCAGTCCGACTAATTTGCCAAGTGCCAAGTATCAGTCGAACCTGTGCAGTAGAAACGGTACGATCTAGGACGCATGGTGTTGGGTTCAAACAAAGAGTTCCGAGGTCTAGAAGTTGACAGAATAAGCGTTGTAAGCGTGATCATGCAAATTTCAGAATCTTCTCTTCTGTTGCAAGTAACACGTTGTAAACTCGACCAAAAATGGAGTACTACTACTTGAATATTACTTTTTTGTGACCGGGTAATCGTAAGGACTGTTGGAGGCCCATGTAATGACTTATCAAACAACTTCACTGCACTTTGTAAATTGATTTGAAAGACAAATGAACGTAAAAAGCTCGATGTTCAGAGCACGTGAAATGGTAATGTGAAACGACTTCAAGAAGAAGAAACAATTTAATCATAAAAAAAGAAAAAAAAACTAAAGAAAACATCGAAGAAGAACATGACAGGATTCCAAAAGATCGGACACCGATGAGCGGGCCTACTTTTGAGGCAAAGAATGTACACATACTGCAACTTATGATCCCACGGACCACTGCCTCTAAGCAGCCCCGACCTGCAAGGCCGTCCAAATTCGTCTTCCTAGAGGAATTCACATCCATACGGGAATAACAGGAGATAATAGATGCAACGAGGAAGCTCATGGAATAGCTTACATCACGATCGGAGCAAGAAACGGCTAGGAATTAATGATGAAGCCAGTTTTAAGTAATTAAATGGTATATTAGTTTACAAGTTACTGCTTTATAAATGAGAAGGATACCGACCCCATCCACCAGTATTACGGGAGGAGAATGAGGAGAGGCGAGAGTATATTTAATGGTTTAAATGAATCACTTTCGAATAAGGAATCTGGGGAGTTCGTATAGTTTCCCAATGGAAACCCCCACCCTCGCTGAAGCAGGCTCAAGCGGGGAGTCACAGGCTTGGGAAGCACTATTTGAAACCCAAGCATTATTCCGTTTTTATGCAAAAACCTCTGAAAAATTAAATACTGGTACCCAAAACTTAGTGGGAGCGAAAGGGGAATTGTGCAGGGTGACTTACGTCTTGAGCAATGTCTGAAAGCTAGGGTATAAGTGCAATTCAGCATATTGGAATTGAAAGAACGCCAAGAAAATTATCGACCAAGCATGCCGTACTATAGAGTTTCAAAATTGGTTTCATAAAAAATAAAATCTTATTTGGTGAGAAGCCAGACGATGATGAGCCTTGCCTCAGAAATGGGGAGCCAAGTCATGGATATACTCATGTCCTGAAAAAACTCGGCTATTGCCAAATCCAAGCTGGACACTTACCCTTGTAGTCAAATTCTCAAATTCCTGAATGGGGCCGATAGTCTTTTAGCTTATAGCTTTTGTTAGAGCACGTACTGGCTTTGTAATTATGGTTTTTTTCATAATAGATTTTATAAAAAATAGAGTAGCAGTAGGCTGTTTACGTTGTTTTTTTCTTCACGAATGGAAGACTCACACAGGTAATTATTACTCCGTTGTTGGATACTGAAGTAATAACATGCCGTAGCTGATGGATTCAGTAATATTATGCTGCTACAATGAACAGCATACATAAAAAATTAAGTAGACCTCGGAAACATTGTTTCTCGGGAAGAAAAAACATTGTAACATTGGAGAAGACACCCAAACCGGGTCCAAAATTGAATAATGTGAGTTAGAATCCATTCAAGCGACATTGTAATCTGATCTACAACCCCAAAAAAAGTTGCTGATCTATGAGAAGCCTGAATTCCCTAGTAAAGTAATTAATCGCCACAAATCAACAGGTATAGAGGTGGTCGTAAGTCGAATGTGAGTGGGCGTGGTTGGGCATCGTTATGAAATTTGATATTTTCTTGAAGAAATGGGCGTTCCGATAGTGAGTAACCAAAGGCATTGAGCTTAAGATACAATAAAAGGATAAAGGATAAAGTGTTTGCGCATTTATCAATCCCGTCTGAGGATTGCGCCCCTACACTCAATCTCCATCCAGAACCATAGTAGCGTTTTGAATAGGTATGTGGCCGATACAATGAATTGCGGTTCCCAGCCGACGTGTAAAAGAGTGCTTTAGTCTTCCCGAAGACTCTGACACCAATTAACTGACCCGGAGGGGATGGGAGGCTTGGTAGGCCTTGGCAGATAGCGTTCCGGGATTGAAACCCGCGACCTTGTGTGTAGAACAGTAAGACATTT